ATATAGTTATATATATATATATAGTATAATGGTCTGTTCAAAAAGTTTTCGAATTTTCGTTTTTTCAAAAAAATATTTATTTATTCGTCTACATTAATGTGGTCCCCTTCAAAGTAGTCCCCCCCAGATATAATACACTTATGCCAGCGTTTTTTTTCCAATTTTCGAAGCACCCTTGATATTCACTTTTTGATATGTCCTTGAGCACTCTCAGCGATTTTCTTCAATCGAGGAAACCGCCGTCCTTTCATGGGTCTCTTCAACTTTGGGAATAGGAAAAGTCACACGGAGCCATATCTGGTGAATTTTTGCACTTTGCAACACTTTATTTCATTTTTTACGCAAAATTTAATACAAATTCTTTGACTTTTCAATTCTTCCATTGTAAAAATCGCCGAGCTCAGAAAAACACGTCGAACCTTTAGCGACTACCACAGACAAAGTAAACAGTGAATATAGCTGAAAATTTCATCATACTTCAGGGGCATGTATACCAACACAATAAAAAAAAAATTTTGACAATCAGACACTCCAGACCCGCGAAATTAATTATTAGTAATTCCGGGTACTTTTGAACAGACCTCGTATATATATATTTATATAAATAATATATTATATATATTTATATATATATTTAGGGGGTCCTTAAAATGTCATTTTCGAATTTCCTTGATCCCAGGGGCTCAAATGATTTCAAATAGATAAAAAAACAATTCTTCTGAAAATTTTAGCTCTTAATATTAAACGTTTAGATAGAGCGCAATTCAATCAAAGTTTTTGTATAGAAATAGCATGGAAAATTTTTCAAAAATTTTAAAATGTTTTAAAATGTAATTTAGCAAACAAATGAATAAATAAAACTCATTCATTTGTCGCAAGTTATGCCTAAAAACATTTTTTTTTAATTTTCAAAAATATTTTCCATGCTCTTTCCATACAAACTTTGATTGAATTGCGCTCTATATAAAACGTTAATATTAAGAGCTGAAACTTTTAGAGAATTGTTTTTTATCAATTTGGAACCATTAGAGCCCCTGGGAGCAAGAAAATTCGAAAATGACCATTTTAAGGACCACCCTAATACATATATATATATATATATATATATATAATATATATATATATGCATATATATAAAAGTGAGTTTTCACATAAGAAATCCAATACGTAGTAAAAATTTTAAAAAAATTGTTGTCGACGTTTTGGAACTATGCCCGTTCCATCTCCTTGTTCGAAGTTCAGTACACATATATATATGTATATATGTATATATTTTTTTCAAATTTCCTTGCTCCCAGGAGCTCAAATGGTTCCAAATAGATAAAAAAACAATTCTCTGAAGGTTTTAGCTCTTAATATTAACGTTTAAATAGAGCGCAATTCAATCAAAGTTTGTGTGGAAAGAGCATGGAAAATTTTTGAAAATTTAAAAAAATGTTTTTTAGGTATAACTTAGCGACAAATGAATGAGTTTTGTTCATTCATTTGTTTGCTAAATTACATTTAAAAAACCTCTAAAATTTTAGAAATTTTTTCCATGCTATTTCCATACAAAACTTTGATTGAATTGCGCTCTATCTAAACGTTAATATTAAGAGCTAAAACTTTCAGAGAATTGTTTTTATCAATTTGGAACCATTTGAGTCCTTGGGAGCAAAGAAATTCGAAAATGTCCATATTAAGGACCACCCTAATATACATGCTATGAGAGTATAGTCTACTCAACATGGACGAAGCGCAACAGATACGATTCAGCTTCTCAAAGCTCTTATGCATCTAATTTTCTTTCGGAATTGAAATATATCATATAATATAATATTTCTCACTTACTTGTGCCTTGGCTTATATGAAATCATGTTCTAGGCCCGATGAAATCTTCTTATTTGCCTTGTAATTTAATATCTGTTAGTGGAGCACTGTGTTCGTTGTAAATCGCGCGTGCTAGCAACAACTATCCTAGCCGCATAATTCTAATAACGCCTTCACTCGCTATCGAAATCGCCGAGAAAATTCTGCGCAGGTCCTTTTATCGCATCGTGAAAGCGAGATATTATCACGTATTTCAATTATTTTCATTGACGTCTCTCATTCGTTCAGAAAATTCGCACTTGTTGGTTCTTCCCTATAGCATATACATATATATAGTAGGATATTGTATGGGGAGTTATTGGAGGGCCTTAAGTTAAATGCTATAGGTCCACCTCATAGACATGTATATCTATTATCTATCTGTCTATACCATATATACACACATATACTACCACACACAGATATATATATATATATTATATATATATATATATATATATATGTTGATATGAGTTTAAATTCGGGCGTAACATCAATAAAAATAGTATGAAAGTTTTTTTTAAAAGTTATTTAAAATTCCATACGTTTCGATGTTATGCTCAGATGTTATATATGCTGCTATGATGTTAACTGAGATGTTATATATGCTACGATGTTAACAGAGCATATTAAAAATTTAAACCATAACATAGATTTTTTTACCCTAAAATTTTACATTTTGAAGAGTACACAATTAAAGAAGATTGCTGAGGGGTGTTTTTGCAATTGCATAACGACAGGGTCATAAACAAACGCTTCGACAATACGGGCCCCTGAACAAACAAACACGTGGTTTTCTTAATAGCTTGTCAAAATTTCTTAAAAAATCACAAGATCCCATCGCTTTTTAAATTTCCCGTAAAATTTGAACAAATGCTAAAAACTGCTATAAGAAAAAATGTGATATTTCTATCTTAAACTCCAAAGAGTAAATATATAGTTTCGACAATTTGTTAGTTATCATGATTACTAGTGTGTTTTACCATTTGTGATGTTTAAAAAATATATATCTTATCAATGTGCACATACTAATACCATGGATTAATAATGGTTTCATATGCTATATAAGGATACAAAATTGCAAGTGTTTTATTATTATTATTATTATTGTTTTCCATGAAATTTTCTTACATATAATTATTTAGTTTCAATTTTTATAGTTAATTTGATTACCACTGAATGATGGCTAAGATGCTAGCCGAAACGTATGATTTTTAAATAAATAAACATTTAAAAAAACTCTCATACTATATTTATTTGATGTTACGCCCGAATTTAAACTCAAATTAAACATATATATCAACATCAAATTCAAGACTATTCAAATATATATACAGTAGAACCTCTTTTATCCGGCCCTCGGTTATACGAATTTGCGATTATCCGGACAACTAACCCGACCGATTTATATGTGTGTACATACCTACAATTGGAACTTTTGCATGATTAATGCTGCCGTTTAGTATTTTATGTAATGCAATCGCGAAAAATATATATGTACATACATAAAAAATTAAATTTCTTAATAAACATTGATTTTCGTTGATATCTATGTAAGCATTGGTTATTTTTGATAAATACACTACATTATTCTTCATACATTTGATTATCCGGATTTTTGATTATCCGGATGCCTATCGATAATAATTAGTCCGGTAATCAAGGCTCTACTGTATATATATATAGATATATAGGGTATATAGGGTGGGGTGGGGTACAAAGGTCCAATTTGATTATGAGCAATTATATTTAAACTATCTGACTATGTTCAGCAAAACTCGCAGCTAATTCATCATTGCAAGAATGTGTTTTTTTCTTGCTGCTTTTCAAAAATTTGTCTCACGTTCCGTTTTACCCCATAGGCGAGGCAAAATGGAACGGCAAATAGTGTCTTATTTTGAATTTTATAAGGATTACTCACTATTTTTTATTGTTTAATCCTTTGCCAAGGTAAAGGTTCAGTGATCCTTTTTACCCCACTCATGTGTAAACTTTTATAGATGTTATATAAAAATACTGTTGAATCTAACTGAAAATTAGATTATAAAATCTCGTGTTTTTGAAAATTATATTAATGTTTCGTAAACTACGCACAAGTGATCACAAACAAAACTAGTGGTATATGGCATCGTGCCTTAAGGCAAATTGCTGGCACTTTCCGCAACGTAACGAAATGATCGAGGAATATTAAATGTTTTCAAATAGATTATTGCAAATAATGTAACATTGTCTAATATTTATAAGAATATTATAAACTTAATTGCAAAGTTGAAACTATTTGTTTAAAGTATACTAGAACTTTAGTCAGAATTAAAATTAAAATCTGAATTATTTTCAATATATAAAAAATTTTTTTTTTTGGAAAAAAAAAGCAATTATTTTGTTTAAACTAGTAGATTTTTTTTGAATCATTCAAATCGGACGCTTAGTTCTTTCAAAAACTGCCATTTTTTGCGCATATAGCTCTGTATCTTTGAAATGGCTCGGCCTGCCTTTGCCAAATCTAACCACCTCTTCTCCCAATCATTTCAAATTGAATGTTTCAATTCAATTTGAATGTTTATTAGATCATTCAAATCGGATACTCCGTTCTCTCAAAAACTCGAATTGTATTTTCTGCACTCTTTGCTCCGTATCTCCGTAACGGCTGGACCTGCTTTTGCCAAAAACTAATCAGCACATCTCCCTATCAATAGAAATCGAATGTTTTTTGAACCATTTAAATCGGTTGATCCGTGCGCCCGAAAACGTGGACGAAAAAAATGCGGACATACAAAACACACACGCACACACAGACATCCATTTTTTCTGAGGCATGCCAAAATGTTCAGAAACCTTCAAAACGTCGTCGAGAAATGCAAAAATTTTCGATTTTCGGCCCATTACTATACCTACCCTACGGGAAGTTAATAACAGCGAAAATAAATACTTTTGGTATGGATTTTTAAAGCAGCGTTGTAAGAACCAAAGTGTGATGGTTGGTTATACATGTTTTTCCCTCTACTTTCAAATATTGTTGTCAAAAAATTTCTAACTTTACTTGTTTTTGATATATTGGTGGTGGACCTTTTTACCCGCGGACCTTCAAGCCTCGCTCTACCCTATATATATATATATGTGTGTGTGTGTGTGTGTGTGTGTGTGTGTGTGTGTGTGTAGTAAACATTAACCAAATATTTAATTAGACTTTAACTAAAAATTGTATTGGTGAATGTACAATTCAATTTTCTTTATTTCGAAACATTTTTAATTTCAATACTTCAAAGGTAAAAAAGTGGAATCTTTCAATTTGTAAATACTTGAAAACATGTTATACATAAATGTATAACATTTCATTTGCATGTTTTAAACAGCTCATGAAGAAGAGGACGTCCCATATTTCAAAAACGTTCTGAGAAATCAAATGATAAGTTATATTAGTCAGAAAACTAATATAATTATATATATAATATATATATATATATATATATATATATATATATATATATATAACGTCTGTATACTTGGCTCCGTGATGGTGGAATTGGCAAAACTGATATGACCTGATATATATAATTTTAATATTATAAATATTTACATAATATATAGAAATAATATTAAAAATATATAGTATATTATATATATATATATATATATATATATGTGTGTGTGTGTGTGTGTGTGTATGTGTGCAATATTACCTGTAAAAAATGAGCACGCCGCGATTCATTCGATAATATTAAAATTACAAACGTTTAAATACTATGGTTTAACTAAAATTATTTATGTATATTGACATTAATGATGACATAAATCAAAGCCTCGAAACGTTTAAAAGAAGTAGCATTAAGCGGAGTTTAAAAGTTATTAAAAACTGAGAAAAATTTCAGGGCTTGGATGCATAGATTTTGATTGTTAGTGTTAGTTCATATAGTACGCAATCGGTAGTAGGGTGTCATTTTTTAGTAAATAATGAATAGTAAAAAAAATAAAGTGGCAAGTTCAATATTTTATTATATAGTACATATATTGCACTATACTCACGGTTACTTGCATAATTGATTAGGGGTCACCTTAATACCGAAAGTGGCAGCTCTTTCAAATTCGCTAAGCACACTTTCGAATTTGAATAAAGAAAGATGCGATTAAAGAAAAGGTTTAATAAGAGATTATTAATTTGATTGCATTAGAAAGATAGGCAATAATGCATTCAACCTATTATAATATTCTATAGCAAGACGTGGCCGGGTCAGTATATATAGTCCTTTTGAGAAGGGGGCTGAAATTCCTGGAATGATATAAGAAGTGTGAGAGGTATGAGCGGCCTGGTTAACGCGATTGAATTTTTTTCAGATTCCCTAGATCGACTGCTTTGCACCCACTCACCCAGAGACACACACACACACATATATATATATATATATATATATACATCTATAATATAATAGGCCACCTGATGGATGGAGATGCAAAACCAGAAACACTTCTAAAAATATTGTTAAAAATTATTTACTAAATAATCCTTATTATTTTATAAATGAATTTATAGTATAATTATGTATTATAAATGACCTAAATTGTAATTATTGAATTTTAAAAAAGTTCTAATCTATTCTATTCAATCCTATATATACAGATAAAAGAAGAGTATATATTAGGGCGGTTGATTCGTATGGGTAAAAAAAGTCACATAGGCACATATGATTTTCGTATACTAATAAGATACTTTACCGAAGAAACTATATCTCTAAAATGAATTCTTATGTCCCGTGCATTCACCCCAAAGATTGGGTCAAATTTTAAAAAATCCTGTTTTGGCTCATTTAGAGCGCCTCAATAATGTCCGAATGTATGACCGACACCCAGTAACTTTAAAAGGCCGATCTACCCATGCCCATGGTTCACCCTCTGGGACCTCCCTTTAGAGAAGTTGCATCATTTTGGGTACTTCAACATGACAAAAATCTGCGATTTATTTTTATTATAAATTTATTTAATCATAAGATATGTAAATAAAACTATGTAAAACTCAAACTATTGTTTGAAGTCTCTTTTAGTTTCAAGTCTGGAAAATTTTGTACGGCTCTAAGCTAGCATAGAAGCGCAAAGGCAAAATGCATTGGAAAATTGAAACAAAGAACAATTTTAATATTTTTTTTTTGTAAAAATGTTTTTTGTGTGTGTTTGAATTAATATCTAAAAAAATGTTTAAAAAAACATCTTTTGCTGAGTAAAATATCAAACACTATGATTTTTTGCAATATTTGTATGGGAGACCTCTAAGGGGAGGTTCCAGGTGGTAAACCATAGGTATGGGTGGATCGGCCTTCCAAAGTTAGTTGTGGTTTGTTATAAATTTGGACGCGATTGGAGCACTCTAAATTTTCAAAATTCAATCCCTATCTTTGGGTCAATGCACGGGACATTAGAATTCATTTTAAAGGTATGGTTTCTTCAGCAAAGTATCTTATTTTGATCCCTAGTATCCGAAAATTATATATGCCTAAGCGACTTTTAAACCCACCCGCCCTAGTATATATAATAAAGTATACCCCCCTAGTATATATTTATATATATATATATATATAAATATATATTTTATTTCGACGCGTTGCCTTAAATAATTAAATATGTTTCGATGTCGAACAAAAGTATCTCAAGATAAACATATGAATATAACATTAAGCAAAAAAGAGAATTTACCTATTAAAGATACTTTATATAAAATATCTTTATTATTCCAGCCGTTTTGACATAAAATACTATGTCATCATAAGTAGATTTACAATATTAGTAGGCAGAAAACAGAAAAAAATACAAATTATACACAAATATGGAAACAGAATATTAATAATTGTTATGATTAAATGTCACCGTAAAAATGTTTGGCGCCATGTTTGAACTCAATCGGTTGTAACGGTAACTTCACACCAAACGAGTATTGTTTTATGAAATGTCAAATTAGTAACCGAATTAAAGTTTGTTGTTTAAGTTAAAGTTTACAACCGAATTGTAGTTTCCCAAGTGTCAAAAATAATGTCGCAAGTAGAAGAAATTGAAGATTTTTTGGGAGATGATATTTTTAATAGAAACATAGATGATAATCTTGATGAAATACCTGAATCTGAGGAAAATAATGAAGCTTCCGAAGAATCAACAAGTAGAAAGGTTGAGGTTAAAAAACGTGTAGCAAGGGCGCCTTTGCCAAAACTGAATGCTCAAAGATTAAGTGGTCCTAAAGGTATTATCTCAATAGATAAGCATTTTGAACACTTCAAATTTAAGGGTAAACACCATGAGAAAGATGATCTAAATAAAGTAATGATAAAACTAGAACTTTGGGCACATCGCTTATTTCCAAAATATCAGTTTGATGATTGCTTGGAACGTATTGAACGATTGGGTAAGCAGAGAGTTATTATGTCTTACATGAATATGTACCGCCTTAATACATTGCAACCAGAAGCAGATGAAAAAGAAAACTTAGAACTTATACTCGATGAACAAAACGATGTATTGGCCACTCCTCTAGATGAGATGGATGAATTTTTAAACGAACAAATAACATTAGCCAAAAGCAGAGATACTTTTCATAATGAAGCTACATTTGATGCATTAATTAATTCTCCTTCAAGTAGTTTATTTGGAAGTTCACCTAAACCTACTTCCACACCAAATCATACAGAGCGCAATGTTCCAGCAGATAATATTCAGACATTGACTGAAGAGCAGAAAAACATAATTGCATTAAATCGACAAAAAGCACGAGAAATGTTGATGCAAAAGGCCAAAGCAAATAATATTGTAATGTGATATTTATATTAGTTATTTCATTAGTTTTAAAATATTTCTGTTTTACACTGTTTATACAAAGCTTGGGCATCTGTATCGAATTTTTTGCCGGTAATAAATTTTATAAAGCCTATAATTGTTATAATTTTTAGATAGCTTTTTTTAAGATAATGATCGATTGAAAAATCATGCAAAATATGCACATTTATACATAAAATCCTACTCATCTTAATATTGCACTGCAATATCACTATTATAAAAGAATCACTATAATATAACAAAGTGTATTGAATAGAATAAGATGAGATTTTTCAACGCTGTTTAATAGGTTTGACAATGATTTGATTTAATTTGAAAACAAAACTTTTATAATAATATTACATTAATATTACTTTTGTAATAATATTATCATGCTTGAACATAATATAACATTCAGGATTTTTAATTGAATAGCGTATTAACGTGGTATTAAAAAGTGAGATATAATGAAAATCTTAAAAGGCATTTTATTTTTTACATTTAAGTAATACAAAATCATAAATAATTACCAATCTGTTGATGCTCTTTCTACCATTATTGGCAAATACTGCTCAAAATAAAATAATTCCAGTTTTGTTATCAGCTGAAAATCTAGATTTTGCAAAAGCTCTTCATCCATGTATATAGCCACATAATAGCCTCCTAAAATCATAATTTATTCAATTGCAAGCAATATATTTAATATGTGATGATAAAATAGAACATACCTGCAGATGGCCAAATAAATAAATATTTGGACCGCACAAATGTTTGGCATGGATTCCAGTGCTCAACTTTAAATTTCCATTGATGTGTTCGAGGTGAGGGTAGTACATTAATTGTACCACCCTCACTCACAATCACTCACAAACGGCTTATTTTTGAAGGATATTGTACATTTTACTTCCAATAATTTCTTTGCTAAAAAACCGTCAATCACAAATCCATCTGGAGAATAGCACAGCCACTTAGTGAAACCAAAAGGCCTGTTCTCGCAGTCTTGGATTTCGACAATTTTTCATACTCTTCTAAGGCTTTTGATTCAAACATATTGCATATTTACTTTTAGTTGGCCAGTAAGATCTTTGGAATTTAAAAAATCATTAATTAGAGATTCAATACTCCTAGTTTTTCATATATTAATAGCATGTGCTTTTTGACTTCCAGAAATTCTGTAAATCATGACATCATGCCAAATATGAGATTCATTCTGCGACAAATTGCTAACAGAAAGGTCTAATACTTGTTTAGCTGACAAAACAATATGCATATCATAAAATTTCTTATGGCCACAGTTCAAAATTTTATCCAAACCCAGAAAAAATGAATCTTGCTCTTCCATGAAAATAAGAAGATCAACTAGAATACCTGCACAGCCATCAGTTTTCTTTTTTTTTTTGAATCCGCATCTTTGTTTGAATCCACAGCTCCTCTACACAAGTATTGCGGCAACAAGTAGTGTTTACTGGGGTACTTTCTATAAGGGCAGTTAAGTAACTTTTGCACGTAGGCAAAGATATTCAAGGTAAAAATACCAACCAACTGATGGCTGGCCCCAACCTTGTGCAAACCTAGTTTTTGTAGCGCTTCTTGTTGTATTCAAAAATAGAATAAGTGCACATATGTGCTTGCATTGTTTTCCAAGTTGGGCACAGCATGTGCTGAAAGCGTATGATTTTCATCAAGCTACAACAAATAAATAATTTATTTGCTAAACCATTCCATATTTTTCTGCTTTATTTATATCCTTTTACGTGCAATTTCACTTTAACGGAGACGGTGTCGAGACAAACACCTCTCTTCTCCTTAACTTTTTTCACATAGTCGAAGGCTATATTCTTAAAATACTATCCATCCTGACTGTAAATATAATACATTTTAACAAACAAAATTTTAATTTTGAATTTCATTATTCTTACTTCTGTTATTTTAAACAAACAAAAGATCTATGATGAGCAAATGATGTAAAAACTATAACAATTTTCCAGTAACCTAAAAATGCACGTGTTAGACCAAAACAAATATTTGCTAGAGCACACGGTATTCTAATGGTATTCTAATATTGTCTAGGAATTGAAACTCACCAATGAGTCGTCAAGTTTCACTTAAAAATCCGCTAAAGGAGAGCCTAGAATATATAGTATTTAAACCCTATCAAATGGTGCTAAACTCTGCTGCTACACGTGCATAACATAACAAAACAACAAAAAATGACATTTCGTTTACATTTCTGTTTTACGTTGAACATATTACTGTAAATATTATTTATAATTATATATCAATGGTGACTAACGACAGAAAACAAGAAATAGAAAGCGATCTCTCCAGGAAAATTACATAAAACTAATTTTATAAAATATATAAATTTAATTCAACCAGCCTCTTAAGTTTACAACCTTAAAATTCAGAATGGCTTCTAAATTTGCGCAGACTTGTAAAAAATGTACAGCTAAGTTAAACGCTTTTAACGACACTTATTTAAAATGTAAGGTATGCCAAGATTTTGCTCATGTTAAATGCATACCTAGTCGTTTGTTTGAAAGCGGGATAGCAGGTGATATTTTCTTTGTCTATACTTGTTCAGAATGTTCTGCGGGAGAAGATATTATAATAAGAGATAAAATCTCCTGGTATTCAAGAATGCTTTATGAAATGCAGATAATAAATATTAGTTATTCAATTAAGTTAATTTTAGGTTTATGGCAATAGTCCTTGCTTTACATGATATGTCTTGCAAATCTTCCGGAATCAGCAACCAAGGATATTTTCATTGGAAAACACATATAATAAGTTTCATTGATCGTAACTGGCAAAATCTATTTTCACAAAACTTGTAAGTAAGCAATATATGTATATACATATATATATATATATATATATATATATATATATATATATATATATATATATATATGAGTAAGTTCTTCAAGGTCAATACATCATATAAAATTCTCGCATCAGAGTCATACACATTAACTACTTTTTCCCTGCAAAATATATTATATTTCACAAATACTTTGCTATGCTCTTTTCAACAAAAACAAAAAAACAAGTTAGTGTTTATATGATAGTGCAAAATTATGTGCCTTGTACTAGTTACTGATGTAAGACCATATTTATATCCACTGATGATGACTTAAAATCCTATGTCGAAACGTTTGGAAAAAATTAAAGATTAACTTCTAAATCTTTGCCCTTTGATGTTTTGCCCTTGAAGAACTTACTCATATTTCTCAACATCAAATCGTATAACAATATATATATATATATATATATATATATATATATATATATACAGTGGCGTCGGAACCAAATTTTCGATGGGTGCGCTCGTTTTTTTTTTTTTTTTTTTTTACATAGACAGCCAGTGGTCTCATTTTTTTTTTCTGACAAGAGTTTAATTCGGATAAAGTAGATGTTGCTGAGCCCACCCATCAAAATTTATGGGTGGGCTCAAGCCCACGCGGTTCCGACGCCACTGTATATATATATATATATATATATATATATATATCTAAGTAAGTTTCATCTTTAAGTAAGCCAATTTAGTATGTTTCCTTTTACAATGTAATGCAATGTAAATTATTCTTTTAAAGGAAACGTCGTAAAAACTGGTTAGGTACTATTGCTGGTATATTATCACACAATAGTCCATCATTTTTCCTATCTGGAACTAGTGATTTGAATGATAATGGCTGGTGGAAATTATCTCATGACCTTCTACCGGGCGTTTATTCAATGCTTTGTAAGTATCATTTTATAATTCCTTGTATATTCTGCAATAGCAATATCATAAGTCCGATTTGTAGAACCCAATATACTGTTCTTGTATTGTTTAGAAACTAATTATGTTTTTTTATTTCTGTGTTGATTGCCAGTTACGTAACATAAATTATTTCTAAATATAAAGCCAGAATTAACTCATATTTTCTTTAATTAATTTCTTTTCATCTTGAGTGGTATTTTTACCTATTACAAAAAAAATGAATATATGAACAAAATACTGCTATTTTTGTTCTTTAATTGCTAATTTTGTTCCTGCATTTAGAGGAAAGAGTTTAAAATTGTCTATATTTTTTTTCAAATATAATACAGCTTCAATGTTTTTTCCACTAAAAATAATTACTTTCTGGACATATGTATATGAAAACACTTTAAAAATATACTTGCTACAACTGAAATGTATAATAACTATAGATGCTGATGTGATATCTGTTAGGAATAACGTGAGGAATAAATTTAAGGACAAAGATTCATTAATGGCAAAAGATGAATTTATAGTGCTCCAATTATTAAAGGATTATGGACTCATAGAACAGCATGAAAATTTCAGAAATATATTAATGGTTTGAGAAGCCAGTTTTTTAAAGATGTGGACAAGTACGAAAATGATACTTCATCAGATGATGAACTTCATCCGTATAAAATGATGCATTTGCAAAGTGATGATAGCAATAACTTTATGGATGATGTGAGTATTTTATTCATCATAAAATAAACATGCAAATACAAGCATGCATGCAAATTCTGTAAGAGGCTACAAATAAAAATATACAAATTATATTATTTATTACATCTTGTTAATAAAAATATTCATTCAGGTTTATTCAGAGAAATCTTATCTTGATCCAAGTGAACTTTTTGATGTAAACATTGATGATGGTCATGTAAACTCAATACTGGAATCAGATGACCAGTTCAATTGGAAATTATTTTCAAGCAATTTATTGAATATTCATAAGAGCGATAAGTCTGTGATACCTGTGTGTAAACAAGAGTTTAATTCGGATAAAGTAGATGTTGCAGAACTTGCACCCATCAAAAGTCTATTTAATGTTAACATTAAGCCAAAAATTAGACCTTGGAGCAATTCGAGTCCGAACATTTCATACAAGTGAGTTATATAAATGCATTAATAATCAAATATTAATGTTTATATTTTCAATTACAGTTTATACTCATTACAGAAATATTCAATCATTAACTGAATACCAGGAACATGAGCTCTATGCAAAATTAAAGCATTATCTGAAAATTTTAAATGATGACCCAAATATATCAAAGCATATTGATAAAGCAAAATTATGTGAAATTAGAAGACTCCACTGTAAACTCAAGGTTCGAAAGGAGTTAAGAAAATTAAATATTGATTTCAATTTGGATAGGTATTACTTTATTTCATGACAATGTTTGAATAGCAGAATATATATTTTGGTACATATTTTATAGGCTTGTATCAGGGCAACATATAAACAAAAGTAATGATTCTGCTGGAAAAATTAATATTCTGGATAAGTTTCAGGTGAGTAGTCTGGCTAAACTTTTCTTTTTATCTCTTCAATTTCAAAATTTTAAAAAACAATATTTGAGAAACTTTCAAAAGATCTTTGAAATAAATATTGATATTTATTTATTTATTTGTATATATTGCATTATATTTGCACTATTATTTGTTTTATAATAAATAATTATTTCTTCTAAGGTTGTATCTACACCAGTTATTGATAATATTTCCTTTGCCACTCGTTTGACAGGAATGAGTTTGTGGAGTTGTTTTGTATCGCCTTATACGAACAAGGAACTTAAACCATTTGTTAGACGAGATTATGAAACTATTTCACCATGGATAAAGGTAAGTCAATTAATTTGCAAAAACATAACCACATCTATAATTATTCATATTCTTTTTGTAAATTTTGGGTATTATGCCGGTAAATAAATAAAACTCTTTAGATGCATTCAGAAAATCACTCTAACTCTCCAGTGAAAATTTTGATCAATTTTAAGGGATGCAAAACAAAAGGTTTTTTGCAATTTCAGTTACCTATCATACAGAAAATCAATAATTACAAACTACAGAGTGTAACTTATAATTTTATTTTAGCTAATGAATGAAATTAAAATGAAAGTGAACAAAGAGCAAGGGAAAAGAGCTCCGATTGATTATTGTTATGTTCGACCACATCATATTGCAGTCATAAATAGCCTTTGTGAACATTTCTATTGGCCTGGAATAGATGGTACTTATTAAAATTTAGAATAATAAGTTCAATTACATTCCCTAAAGTAATATTTAATATAGTGGTATCCCGATATATGAGTTTAATTCGTTCTATAACCATGCTTGGTATGCCGAATAAGTTTACTGTTTAATAATTTAATTTTTTTTTCTCTCCGTTTATGATATTGTGGGAAATGTGGACATAGGTTTTGTTGAACAACTCTTTAAATTCATTTAAGGTTCTTATCTTGAGATTCATTCTTTATCAACTTCTACTGTTATAACCCGTGGTTATAAAATTAATATTTTGTAAATGTACAAAATGAAAAAACGCGAACTCAACATATATAATTGAAAAATCAGTATTAATGTATAGTTACAATTTCAAACATTGAAATAATTTTCAATATATTTGCATGGGTAAATCGTTACTACACAATTAAGATCAATATATAATTGAAATGTCTAACTAATGACTACTATTGAAATAATGAACTATCATAAAACAGCCAAAATTTTCTATGGTAGGAAAATCATTGTTGCAACTGACGAAATTTTTTATAATTTCATTATGTCATTCACATTTGAGAGAACTCTTACACGCTTAAAACTCGTATATCGAACTTTGCTCGTATGTCGAAGCAAACAAACCGCTCCTTTGGCGGCGCTCAAAACACTTGTATGTGAGGCTCGTAAGTCGGGGTACCACTGTATGAAATCAAAACCAAATTTATATATACTTTATATGTGTACATATGCACTTCGAATTTTTATGCAATACTATAATTATTGATATATTGCTTCTAAATTTTAGTCAGTGATGTACTTCAATATCCTGATTATACAGTTGTAGCCTTGTACAAGAAACTCGTTGTTGGATTTGCACTTCTAGTACCAGATGCTAATCACAATGAAGCTTATATATCATTTCTTTGGACGAGACCAAATTGGCAAAAATGTGGAATAGGATCGTTCATGTTATACCACTTGATACAGGTAAATATTGATTTTATTAATATTTTGTTGTAATACGAAAAGAGAAAACAGATTTGCTTTGTAATATGGAAATGTATATCTTTCCAGACGTGTATTGGCAAAGACATAACATTGCATGTGTCTGCGACAAACCCTGCATTAATATTATATCAGAAATTTGGTTTTAAAGTTGAAGAATTTATACTGGATTTTTATGATAAATATATGCATGCAACGTCCAAAGAATGTAAGCATGCATTGTATTTAAGATTATCTCGCTAGTTATTAAAATAAATTGAAAATATTAGAAATATATGTTATTTTATTTTATTGAGTGGTACGTACCTGGAATGACTATCAATCCTAGTAAATTCGTAGTTTTTACCTATAAGAATTCGACCAATGGCATTTGGTTGTTATTCTCCACTAGAGCCAATTCAAATCGAGTCCGAACCCATTCAATCCAGGTTTTCTAGGTGTTATGATCATATAGTTGACGAGATTTATGAAAAAAGAATATTTATGCAGGTTAAGTACATACTTACTCATATATGCATGAACGTCACAATACTTTTGGAGTATTACTTTTTTCCAACATTTTGTTTATAATTCTATAAAAATCATAATTGTTATCGATTATGTCCCTGAAAAGCTGTCCTATTGTATATTGCTTATAAATTAAAATAAGTGAGACTAGTATTTCATTATCTTTAAAATTATTTTTCAAAATATTTTAGCAGATATTTAATAAATTATTGAAAATATATGTTGCACCTACCCCATTTTTTCTAAACTATAGGTGAAACATACCTTTAAGGGGGTTTTGATTATTAACTTTATCACCATTCCAATATTCACCTTCTCAGGCATGCAAACAAGTAAAAACACTTTGATGACGAAAACATTTTTTGGTCACTTATGATTTTATTTTATTGAACTGAAATTCTTCATTTTTTATAAAATTTATTTGTTTCATTTTTCGTTTTTAAACGTTTTTTATGCGTAAATTGCAATTTGCGCGCCCAAGTAATAAAAACTTTGCATTTTATAATAAATAATGATATTATAATAAATATTTTATTATACCATTTGTTGTAAGCGTTATTATTCTAGAAAGTTCATCCTGAGCAGAAACCTTATCGCCATAGAAGTCACAATTTTTTTTTAACATTTACGAAGTAACGACCCGACCGATTTTTGACAAAATCTAATTAGCACATTTCCCAATTAATATTTGAATGAATTTTGATTTTTCAAAACCGTTTCACGAATTTAGGCTAAAACGGTGACAAACAAAATTGAACTTTTTTACTAATTTGAAGAAAAAATCGGCTCTACTGATTGTCGCTAGTGCTTATCGATTCGGTTCAGAGAAAACGTTGACAAAAGGTAAAACGTCGGCTCACATGCCACACACTCACTTTTACCAAATTTGGGCTTAATCGATTAAGAATGACTCCAAGCGTCGAGGGAATATAATATTAGCAATTGAAAGAAACTTGCTACATATGCAGATATTGTGAGGCTAATATATTAAAAAAAAAATTGTGTAACGTTCAATGTACATATATACTTTTATTATTTTGTTCTTAACTTTTTTCTTGTTTTTTTTTTTTTATATATATTGTTATAGTTTTTTATTATTATATTGTTTTTTTTTTGACCAATTTAAAATCAGTGTTATTAATTTAAACATTATATGACTCTTGCGAATATTTTGCGGCGCATAATGCCGATATTCAAACTGACAAAAAATCGTTGATCGGCACGGCAAATTTGTAATTTAAAAATACAAAACAATGTAATATGCATCATAGGCATAATGACAAATAATTCAGTTCAGTTATACTTTTTTATTTATTTTGTATTACAGTTATAATAAAATTTAAAAATTATTATGTAACAAGGATAATATATATAGATCAATAAATCATTCTGTATTTTAGTATTCAGATAACCATAACTAGCCAACCCAAAATAAGACAAACTCCCCCTGCAGGCGCTAGTTGACTAAATTTATGTTCTCCAGAAAAAGCACGATAGTAGCATGTGCCGCAGAATAATAACATTCCCATTGAGAAAAAAGTAGCGCTCTGAAAAAAGAGGTGATAACTTTGAAAAAAAGCTCATGTAGAACTTCTAGATTACACTGCTAAAAACATGCTTTGAATATGAATCATTAATCAGCCCATATTTTGATAGAATCATACTATATTCTGATTGACTATTTGTAAAATGATAATGAAAAAAAAAAGGAATATAAACCAAATATTTTAATTTACTTAGCCTCAATCTTTCACATGAAAAACCATTTCCATATCTACAAATGTTGCAATGTTTTGTATCAGAAATTAGAAAAAAATCTGCAATGTACACATATAAGAAACAAAGTTGAAACCACACTTCTTTCAAGTAATCATCAAATGAAAGAGTACTTTTATGTGCATAATAAGTACATTATTACTTATTATTATTATTACTTGTCAATAATTATAAAAAATTTCAATTAAAATACATACTTTAATTCAGCTTATGTTCAAGTTAACTTAAATGAGGCTCAACTATTAAAAATAATGAATAGGGTTTATAGTAGTTTAGTTTATATAGAAATTCTCCCAAAGTGATAAGTAGAGTTATAGGCTAACTGAATTCAAATAGTCTGGGGCTTGAGTCCATATACTTCCAATATTTAACCTTATAAGACACTTTCTTGACGATTGAAATCTCACAACAAAAGTATCACTGAACACAAATTTGTCAATTGTTTTTATTAACATTGACAATGAGTTTTTTACAAATTCCTAAATCGTATCAAATTTTTCGATAGTGATCTAATGCAACTCTTTGGTAATTTCAGATAAATATTGCCAATCATTCCACATAATACAAACGCTGAAGAATAAGATCATGTTTGAAAAAATTTGATCTGTAGCAAAATGTTAGTAAGTTACATATTACTAAAAAAATGCTTAGTAGCATATAATTTAATAAGCTAGATATCATGACATTTATCGTAAAATCCAAAATATACTTACCAATTTAGAATATCTACAAAGTGGAGTTCCCAACAATGCTAATGTATGAATAAAATGAAATCGGTTTGCAGTTTCATAAATTTTTCTTAAATCTTTTTGTCCAGAATCTACTTCAGGGTAATGCTTATGAGAACCATATGCTCCAAGTATTACAGCACTTGCTCCACAAATTCCTGCCACTCGAATTATATATCTAGAATTTCCAATGAGGTTCCACAAAGGTTGCATTGTTTGTATAGTCTTAACCGGCACTTGTGCTTTTGGCTTTACGTATCCCTATGGCATTTAGTATATTATTTAAATAAAATTATCGAATAATTTGAATTCTATTTTTCAGTAACACAAACCGTTTTTCTTGCTACATCTATTAAAGTACTTGATATAGGATTTGTGAATATCACATACGATAATGTATCATTAACTAATTGATACATGCCTAATAATTGAAGTAAAAATGACGGAAAAATAAAAATATGTAAAACAGTTTTTACTAACTTGTATCCTTTGTTTATTTCGACACAATTGCAGCCCTAGTCTAGACACAATAATAATAGAAAAAGATGACAGGCATAGATAAAAGAATTACAAATATAGATCCCTCTCTCGAGACATTTCTCCATTTCTCATTGCAAACCATAGATAAAACTGATGCAAGGGAAGACCACGAGTTGCGTTTGTTCACCGATGTGCACCGATCACCGATGGTTCACCCATAGGTAAAAGAAGATCACCGGTTCACCGTTAGTTATTCTTTGAAGAACAAACAACAACACAGCACAACCAACCATAAATAAATAAAAACACAACAATCGTTAATCACACAATATTTAAAAAAAAAAAATCGTATTTTGGCCATCATGCAAAGCCATCATTTATGAATATTTTTCTATTTTGTTACTTAAATATACTAAATACCTTTATTATTTCCAAAAGAAAACTAATTTTTATGCTGCTATTTCTTAACATAAGATTTGCTAATCGGATCTCCTAAGAAGAATGTTTTTTCTTTCGGAAATGAATAAATAAATTGAAAATTCTTATGAGATTCACTTTTTTATCTATGTACAATAATCATCAGATTTCTTCTAAGTTAATATCTAAACTAATTCAGTAAACTTTTCAAATTTCAAATTTTAAACTCATGAGGAGCTAGGGAGTTATCACCGAAAAAATGCGAATTTTACTGATTTGGCCTAGAGCACCTAGAGTTTATTTATCTATGTCTGAACCATTCCAGTCAAATTTAAAGTTTTTTTATTGGAAAAAGTAAAACTGCAGTTTTACTTTATCCAATAAGAAAACGTTAAATTTGACTGGAATGGCTCAGAATTGGTTCAGACATAGATAAATAAACTAATAACCATGGTTATTATCGTTTCTAACTAATTTGAGTTTTCTTACTTTAATAAACATGGCATTTCAAAAATCAGATTACTCATTTTTGTCTGCATGCAATGTTAGTTATACAAAATTGTTTTCACCGTTTTTACGAAAGGCTCGGATTTCTGGAAAAAAAACTGCAGAAAGAAAGTTATACATAGCTTTATAATATAGCTGTAATATTTTGAATCTTTGTTACTTGTGTGTACGATTTAGGGTTCAATAGCACTCTATAATCTATTCATTATGTATATAAATTAAAAATAAATTGGTGTAAGCAAATTCTATCTATACAAAAAATTAGTACCTTTTTTAGATTATATAGTTATAATTTGTAACATACTCAGTCTATTGCTCGAACAACAAACAAACTAGTAGAATACTTCTTTTAATTATTTCTGTCAGTTGTTCAGTCTGATCATATCAACAGTCAAACAACCCATTATGAGCGGTATTAAATTTTTTAATATCACAATTATAAAATGGTTATAAATATAATTCTAAAGATTCTTTTAGCAGAACACTTTGAAACTTTCAATATCTTCTAAAATCATATCAATACTAGTCAAACACAAATATTAATTTGGTATTTGGTAATATTATATTATGTTATATGGTTTCATGGAAAAAACATTGACGATATTATAAAACTTTTATTCATTTTTATTCATTATTTATTCTAGGAAATTGTAATAATTTCATCAAATATCAAAATAACAATATCAAGGTTTCACGAGTAATATAAAAGGATAATGCACTTAAGATTCTGAAAACATGCGCAATTCTATAAAAATAATCATATTCTGGAGCCTTTTTGCTGCAACACTTTAGCTCTATCAGTTGGTTCTGTTTCTTTACTATTTACGGTAAGGCCACATTCCCTCGATACAACACACAAAAATTCAGCATGTTCTTCTGAACCGTAACTATAGTGAGGACCCATATTAATTAATTGCTCAAATCTCCATCCATCAGACATTGTAGACACCATCTGTACAAGATTTCAAATAAATATAAATATCTCACAATAAAAAATAAGATACAGAGATTCCAAAATAACCTGTGAAAGTTCATTTTCTTGAAATTGCAGAACTCTATAAACCCGCTTTTTATCATGAATGGGTTGGTTATCTCTTAAAATAATTCGTTCTTTGATTAATTTTATCAAATCTGTAATGTTGTAAAACTCGGCTTCTTCTAAAACACCCTCTTCTACCAAGTCTTTGTTTAGAACTAGCTTCCCATGTCTTAAATAATTTAAAACGGAATGAAAATAAATCGGGTCCCTATCAATTAGGTAGGCTCCAGTTTCATCCTGCATTATAAATAAAATGTGTTTCAATTTGAAGCATAATAATTTATAACCAATATAATTTTACCACATCTGATATTAAATCGCTTTCTTCTTGAATTAGTCTTGCAAGAAAGGAATGCGGATCTCTAGATAATGTGGTCTTTGTAGTTAAAAAGCAAGTTCCACCGACGTTCAGTTTTACCCATTGTTTGCTACCCGTTTTAGTTAAATGCGACTTTCTATCACAAGACTTTACTTCTTCTCCACCGTTTTCCGCCATGTTTGAACTCTGTCAAAACTGTCAATTTAAAATCGAACAGACGTGACCCATAGACTAAACAAACTGCTGCGGGGATATTCAGCTTCAGTCCAAACAAAATTCATAGCAAAAACAAATACTTATATATAGATCGCTCACTCGCATGTTGAAAATTTACTCATTCGCAAATTGAGTGAGTAAATTGAGAGTGTTTTGGAAAAGGAGGAAAGGTGACATAGATAAAAGAAGTTATAGATACATAGATAAAAGAAGTTATAGATAATTATGAAGAATTTTTTTTTATTTTGAAACGGTTTTTATTTTAAAGTCTCAATATATAGTACATTTTATTAAATGTATAAATTTGCTATAATTTTAGTACTATAAAGGTTTCATGGGTTTCAAAATAAAATGTTGAAATAAATTATACATTCGATACAGAAAAAGGTTGGCAGCCCATGCTCTAAATTTTTAAAGATATGGTCAACGTCAACAATACCAAATGAGGTTATAATTATATTTTTGACATTTGACGATTGTTTACTAAATTTCTAATTTGACTTTAATGTCTTGATTTTAAGAATCGATCTAAAATAGTGATCTATAGAAATGGATGTGTGTAATAAATTAAAAGAAAAAGGATGGTAAGTATTAGATATTTTCTCATTGCGAATGAATTTCTAGTGAGTTTTTTTTGTAAAAAATAGAAACATTTATCTTCATAGGTGCTTAAGCGAAGAGGGAACCGAAATTCTGGTGAAGTATGCTAATTCAACAGATCTGAAAATTTTATCAGAAAAAGCTTTGGAGGTGAGTTTTTGATTTGAATGTGGTTATGCTTAATAATAGTTATGTGTGAGTATATGATTAAAATCTTTACGAGCACTATATAAAATTGTATCAAAATCTTCGATTACTTATGTTAGCTCATTTTCATCTATACATGTACAACAACAGATTAATAATATCTCAAATATTTTTTTTTTTAAATTAAAATTAATAATAATCCAAGGCAATCAATATTTTGCATGTAGTAGCATATATATTTATATGATTGCATATACATATCATACTTTGGTTACTTTTGTCATTACATTCATGTTTGTGTGCATAATTACTTATTGTATATTATATTAACAGTTTGACCTGAAAAAAATTGGATGTGGTGCCTTAAGTTCAGATTTATCAAAGTCTAAAACTGATTTTATTAAAGGAAATGTAATTGTGCAAATAACGAAGTTAAAGAATGTATCAGCACCAAAAAGTGATCAAAACTCACATAAAAGTCCTAGGTTATTAAAACTCACATTAACTGATGGAAAAAACACATTTTTTGCTTTAGAAATGAAACTTATTCCTCGCCTGAGTTTAAGTACACCACCTGGAACAAAGGTAAAATAATTAGTTTTATTATATAGTAAAAATGTTCAGCATAACTTTATATATTTGATTATAGTTTTTATGCAGTTATTCTTAAAAGATAACTTGGTTTGTAAAACAATTTAAACAATTTAAAACATATAGAAAAATTTGTTTGGAGGTGTTGTTCACCTTAATAAAAAAACATGTTTATACACCTTGTAAATTTTATATATATATATATAATTTTGTAATAATGATTTTGTAATATATATAATATATATATATATATATATATATATATATATATACTGAAAAATAATAATTTCAAAAATATAAATTCAGAATTTTACATGTGTATATGTATTAAAAAACATATGAGCAATGCTTGAAGAAATGTGTATCAAACTTTGCAAATCTGCAAATATATATATATATTGTTGGCAGTCATCCCACCGCTGCCACCAAATAATGTTGGGCACCGCGTTGATAAACAGAAAAGGCTGTTGGCGCCTCTATATGCAAATCGGTGTTGATGCTCTGGACCTTCCGGAGTTCCTGCAAACTCACTTGCTGAAAATTCTTGAGATTTGATAAATAAAAGACTATTTCAATAACTTCACTTTATTTCACTTTAAGTACAAGGAACTCGGAGGTATTGGAAGAGAAATGTTTGCCCGGCGACCGACATATTAAGACTGACTTATTTCATAATCCTTTGAAACGTAGTGGGGATTTGTCTCGAATATTCTATGCAACGAAAAGGACAAAGTAATGAATTTAGCTGATTAAACAAAATGTTATTCATACGACCTTGGTGAGAATTGTTAACTAGGCGGAATGTCGATAATATGATCTTGGTGAGATTAGTCGATGTAGATTCCCGGTTTCGTGAGAGAATGTTAATGTCAGCTACTACGCAATAGTCTGAGAAAAGTTAATATGAATTGTTAATATCAGCTAAAGCTCAGGGGTTCTAAGATTTCAGTCTGGACTTGTTAGAAATCTAATATTATGACAGTGGTGAGCAACTTGTAATATCAGGGGTGTACAACATTATATATATATATATATTTGCAGATTTGCAAAGTTTGATACACATTTCTTCAAGCATTGCTCATATGTTTTTTAATACATATACACATGTAAAATTCTGAATTTATATTTTTGAAATTATTATTTTTCAGTTGTTTTTGAAAGGAAATAGTTTGAAATTGATGCATAACTATGTATTATTAAATTCTGAAAACACAGAAGTGCTTGGAGGAATAGTTACAAGTCTGGTCGAGAAATGGGAAGTGGAGAAAAATCTTGAAAAATGTACTAAAGGTAAGTTTACTGTATAACAAATATGAATAACTATGAAAGATTTTTGGTTACTACGAATCAAATTGCTAATCATTAATAACAAATCATCTTTTGATTTAAATTTTATATTTACAAACTATCTTATTATTTGAAAATTATTATCACTTATTTATGAAAATATAGGTACTAAAAACGTTGCTGGTTATCCGCCATGGATTCCATTTGATAAAAATATTATTGATGGTGGTGAGACTACTAATCCAGAAAATCATAAAGCAACAAACCTTCTCAATTGTGCAGATAACAAGGTCCAGAATGATGAATTTGATTCGCAACTACAACAAAATATTAAACAAGCCTTGATTGACAATCAAAAAAAGCCAAAAAAGGTAAATATGGGGGTGGGGCTTATCATATACAAAATTATTTTTTATGTCACGAGTTTTAAAATATAGCCCCTTTATGTATAGTCTTTGCTAATTTAAACTAATAAATTGCCAGTAACTTATAAAGTATAGAAATATAAATCTGTTGTAAAATCATTTCATATATTCAGAACCTTTCTGCTATCAAAAATTTCTAAATGCATGGTAGAAATTAGAATTAACAAAATTTATTTCTAGGATTTTGGAGGTGGTAAAAAAACATTAGTCGATATGAATGTTCAAAGATTAATGGATAAAGGTTTTTCACAATTTGAAGCCGAAAATGCATTAAAATTGTGTAAGCACAATTTTGATAAAGCCCTTAAAAAGCTGCAATTTTCGCATCCTGCTAATCAGCACTCAGTAAAGTCGGAAAAGTTTGAGAAACACACAGAAGTCAAAGATTTCAAACCAAATTTAGGAAAGATATCTTTATCAGACTTTTTTGAAGATTTACCTTTATCAAGTAAAAAAACTATTGCTGTAGATAGTACGTCATCTTCAATAAATACATCTGCAAGATATGGCAATACATCTGAAAAGGTTATGAATAAAACACATGATTCATATCAAAATGCAAATTCAATAGACAATTATAAATCTAAAGCAATTCATGAGAAAAAATCATACCATAATATAAATCACCAGAGAGATAAAAATCAGTATCTGAATGTGAATGCAAATGCAAAACAAATGAATAGAAATAAAAGCCCTGATAGAAATAATACCTTCAGAGACCGCCAAAGCAATAAGAATGTTCAAAATAAGGAAAAAGTATACGGAAATAAATTTCAGAAAAATATACGAGACGACAATTCTTTTCCAGAAAAAAAGAGTTTTCAACAATCTGGCAACAAAGATATTAATCATGAGATATCTAATTTAGCAAGTAGTGAAAGTGAGAAAGTAAATAAATCAACTGTACCAGAGTTTCCAAAGAAAATATGCAACACAAGAATTTTTCGTAATAACTTGAATAGCAATAGTCATACCGAAACAGCAGGTGGAAATGGTTTCTGTGATAAATTTGACGTAAAAGATAGAAAGTGGCGCATTGGCGATAGGTGTATAGCAAAGTATTGGGAGGATAAAAAGGTATTTATGCTTTTTATCTTTGTGTTGACATACATAGAGATATATACGAATGCATCTGTGCATGTATATATTTAAAGCCAAGTAAACATAAAAATTACATAACAATATTTATTACAGTACTATGATGCTGAAATCACAGGACTTTCTGATTATACATGTGTGGTTCGTTTTCTGGAATATGGAAATTTTGAAGAAGTAAGCAAATTCGATTGCTTGCCCGTTACGCAATCACGCGATCAATACTCTCATCGAAAACAGTATAATTCTTCGAGAAACAAATTGGATAATAATGTCAGCAATCATCAAAATAAACCACTTGAAAAGGATCAACAACGAATTGATGAATCCGAAATTGTTAATAAAGTTAAAAATTTAACTATTGAAAATAGAGCGAAAAAAAATAGATTTGTTCCTAATATTTATGTACCGCCTGCTCAAAGAAAATGATATTTGTTTGAAGATGAGTTACGTGTTTATAATATATAGCAATGAGAATTATGACATATTTGTGAAATAATATAAATATAAGTAAATGGATATTGTAAGGAAACTTTTTTTTTAACAATACTTACATAGGTTATTGAGGAGTCATTAAATAACAAAAAATTACGATTGCCAGAACACCCATACACACTGAAGTTGGCTCCGGTGTTGCCCATAACCTGTCAAAATTTCAGCAGTGTTGCTTTCTGCAAATCATTTAGGGGAATATTTAGTGCAATTCTTCTACCACGCGTCTGAAGACTCGATCTCATTTTTTTCTTGTAGCGTTGTATCGTGTCGTGTCCGCCATTTTCTGTTCAAGTATATTCTGATTGTGCGTTTTTAATTTCATTTTGTTTGCAGTTATGCCTTTCCATTTCGTTTCTTTATGATTCTTTCATTTATTTCATTAATTTTATATTGTTCTTTCCTCTGCGGTTACTATTTTGGTGCTCTCAATCGATTCGCTTGTGCACGTTTCTTCTTAAGTAAGGCTTTTATTATTATTTTTGTTACATTAACATGTTTTATTATAATTCGTTCTGTTTCTTTTCATTTATATTTCTTACTGCGCTTTTTGAAATTAACAAATTTACTTCTTCATTAGGTTTATTTTATTTGAGGGTTATTATCTCACTTTCTATATTAAGGTCTAGCTTAGGTTCCACTTTCTTTACCTTCTTTTCACATTTAGGTCTAGCTGCTTCCATATTATTTTGCTACTTTTTACATTTAGGTCTAGCTTAGTACTTTTTACATTTAGGTTCGTTACTAGCTTAGCTTCCATATTATTTAGGTACTTTTAACATTTAGGTCTAGCTTAGGTTTCATATTATTTAAGTCGTTTTTACATTTAGGTTCGTTACTACCTTAGCCATATTATTTAGGTATTTTTAACATTTAGGTCTAGCTTAGGTTCCATATTATTTAAATACTTTTTACCTTAGGTTCCATATTATTTAGGTACTTTTAACATTTAGGTCTAGCTTAGGTTCCATATTATTTCAGTAGTTTTTACATTTAGGTTCGTTAATAGCTTAGCTTCCATATTATTTAGGTACTTTTTTACTTACGTTTACATTACTTTCTATTTTCATTCTCTAGCCTTTAGTTCATACTCATTTCACAATTTATACAATTTAGTCACTTTGCTCCTTATTCTCGATATCTATTTTATTTGTAATTTATCCAATAAACCAACATGGACTTTGTTTGTAGTGAATGCAAAACCACGTTTACAGCTCGTAGCTCTTTATATCGACACCTCAGGAGACAGCATGACAAAGAGCAATTCGTGTCAATTTTGTTATAAAACCTTTAAAACCATATATACTATATCGATATGTATGCCAAGTGCATTGTAATATCCCTGCATTGTAATATCTAATGTTTTCTATAACATAGGTCAAATTGTAAATAATATAATGTGTATATATTTCATTTTAATAAAAATGTTTATCCGAAAAGATGTTGTTCTTTAACTATGTTTGGTATTGTTCATGGCAATATTGTTAAAATTTGTATGAGATACACCTCATTATTTTAGAACATTCTAAATATCATTATTATATTTATACTATAAATGCGATATATGAATAATGCGATATATGAATAATATATATTATTGAAATATGTGAGTTGAGTGTTGATATATATTTCGATAAAACGAAAGACTGAAAATATCAAAATTTAATACATATCATATGTTTGACTTCATTTTATTATATGATTATAAATATACACAAAATATAAATAAGTTGTGTTCTAATGAACAGAGCTTACATCAAGAACTTTGATGTTCATTTAATATCTAAGCGTGTAAATTCCTGGCCTTAATTCCATGAGAAATGTAAATAAAACTGACAATAAAGTTAAAACATAGAAAATAGTGTGAGTAACTACAATAACTAATCTAAAACACTCTTTAATGTCCTAATCAAACAAAATTATCGTTTTTCGTAATAATATTCGCTAACAAAGAACATTTCACACTGTGAAAGCAATTCTTTCATGGAGGTTATATGTGTTATTTTGACGTTTCATTTGCGAATGACAGTTCGGGTGTATTACACAGTGTCTTTGTCTCTGAATGTTGGTAGTCGTTTTTTTTTTTGACGTTTTGTTGGGTGTCCCTCAGTACATGGCATATTTTTTTGGGTTTTAACGGGGTGT